ATAGTTCTGCTATAATTTTGTCCTTGCCTAGCACCATATTCTTGTGTGTTTCCAATACTGCCTTCTGCTTCTCAGCTGTCATTTTAAATAAGTTTCGATATTTCTCTAGATTTTCAAACCAATTAATTTCTACAGATGTTGTTGGATTATCTGCCATATTGCCTGTGTAGACATTTCTGGAATAATTGTGTCTATCCACTTCACGTGTCTGCTTAAATGCTGATTTGTTTATCTGTTTGTATACAAAACTTTACGTGTTTGTTGTTTTGTTTATCTGCTTGACTTGTTGTTACACAATTGTGATTACGCGTTCAGGCTAGGGATCTGCAATACAGGGTCGAGGGTGTTTCCCACTTTTTCTCCAAAAAACTTCTAAAAAATTTTTTGTCTAATAGTTGGTGTCAGAGTTAGTTTCTTTGCCTATACGTTCTATTAAACTATGGCTTGTTTTCTCTGTGCTTTCTTTTTGCTTAGTATATGTTTAGAGGTTTACTAGTGCAGAAGATGCTCTATATAGTAGTTGCTTCTTCACCGAATTTTGTGCCAGAGATCAGTGGAAAGAGTGCGATTTGAGTGTGATAAATCGGTTTTAATATAACCGGTTTTAATGAATATAAATATAACCGGTTTTAATACAACCATTTATAAATCGATCTTACTATAATCTTCTACAAAAACGATTATAAATATACTGTAAATAGGTTTTACAATATGTTAATTAAGAAAATATTGCTTGATCTTCTGTTCTATACTGTCGACCCTCCCAAAACTGATAATCTTCAATAAACGATTAAAATTTGATTCATCATGTCAGTTCCATTATTTCTGAAATCTGATAGCCTATTTATTTAAGTTTCCGATATAGTTGATTATAGTATCATAAGATTCAGCCAATCAAATCAATACTGGTATATATATATTGTTGTAATTCTTATATATTGTGATCAGATTTAGCAAGAATCGTAGACGATTCAATAATTTTCTAAGACATTATGCAGCAGCTGTGATGCGAATAATCTAATCTGGACTTTTGGAGCTGCCCTGGCAAACTCCGTTTTGAGAGAGTTTACAGTACATATTAGTCGTATTGGATGACAATTAAATTGCTATTTTATTGAGTTTAAATAATCACAATAACCAGATAAAAAATATATCTTTGTTTTATTTAATAAAGAATATCAATTTTATAATTGAACTAACAGATATACAATATAATTGTTTCTTGAATAAATTTAAAATTTTGTTATAATTAAAAAATATTCAATAAAATTTTACTAAATTTTTTTAGCTAAGTAATTATTAAATAAACTTTAATCATATTTAATATGAAAATATTATTTGAAATTTTACTACAAATATTATGCACTCATTGGAGAAAACATACCGAAATATGCACTATTTTTTTTTAAAAATAACATATGATTCACTAGTTTAGGAGATAGATGTGTACATTTAGATGAGATGTGATTCCCAGCATCTAGAATAGTCGTTCACTTGGCACAGACGTAGCTGGGATTGAAAGATATTTTCGGGCTAATAAAGCCAATAAAGGAAAAATACTTTTTCTACTATTTCACCAAATAAGTGGATCTTCATTAGGTTTAGCTTCAGGATATTTAAGATATTGTGATACTTTGTCTTCTTCAAATTCTGTTATATCATTATTTGATCCTCCCACATTAAAAACTTCAGTAAAAAAATCATCATCTCCTAAAGTATCATTTTTACTAAAAGTAGTTATATTAGATGTTTGGCTTTGATCTTGTAACTGTAAATTGTCTTTTATATTTTTATACAATTCATGAAGTTTAATTTTTGTGTTTGTTCATTGAGTAACTGTAGCAAATCATAAACCTTTCATCCTAGGATCCAGGATTGTTGCAACTAAAGCTATATCATTTAGAACACACCACAATTCATCTAATGACAAGTAAATTGCAGCTCGAACACTATCAAGAAGACCTGAAGTATTAGTTGGTGGTAAATATTCGATCTCATTTATATCATCTGATTTAACTAATTTATTTTGTGATCGTTGACTTATATTACTTTTACCTTTACCTTTATTATGACTTTGGATTTTTTTTTGATTTTGACTTCGGCCTTTACTATACTTTTTATACATATTTCGTTTAAACTGACGGTGAGCAAATTGCCAATGTCGACGTTTACCTGCTGATGGTATATTTTCATTTTCACTAACAGAACTTGAATCATCAGTATCAGATAATTTTTCTATATTGTGTTGATTAGGTAAATCTTCTAACTCGCCATAAATTAAGGCTAAATAAGAATCAATCGTTTTATTTTTTTCAGGTTGTGGTTGAAACTTTTTTTTAAGTATTTTTATATATAGGTGAACTAAATTAAGTGTAGGATATTTTGCACCACAGATATGGCGAGTTACTATTTCAAAAGGACTTAATAAATTGACTATGCTTTTAATAAAATTTTTTTCATCTATAGTTAAACATAACCTATTGAGTTTTTCACCCTCTAATTGAGAACTACGATCTTTCTTTGAAAGTAATATTGTAGAAACTAATTTCATTGCTGTGTGTAATTCCAAAACCCGTTTCCAAGCAAGATACATTGAGTTCCAACATGTCTTAGTTTCACTTAAAACATTTAATGGATTAAATTTATAATTTTTATTTTGATTATCAGATATTTCAGTGTTCTTTATTTGTAATTGTGCTTCATAAAGCCTTTGCGCCTATTTAGGAAGTCTAAAAAATGCTATTAAATTTTTCATTTGACGATGCACTGCCTTGCATTGTTTTAAACCTTGTTGAACCATCAATTGCAAAGTATGAGCAGCACATGCCTGTCTTGTAACCTCAGATAATTGCGACTTAAGTATACTCACACCTTTAATTATATTTGTAGCGTTGTCTGTAGTTTTCGCATATACTAATGAACTTAAATTCCATTTTTGAATAATTGAAAAAAGCTCTGCACTAATAATTTCTCCTGAATGAGGATGTGGTAATTCACTGCAAGTTAAGAGAACTTTTTTAAACACAAAATCTTCAGTAAGCCAGGTACCTGTAACACCAATATAACCATGCTTGCTTTTTGCAGTCCAAAGATCTGTAG